TGGGAGTTGTCTATTGTTTCTAGTCTGTCATTATACAACATTCTTGTTCAGCACGCGTGCAATGACCGCGCTTGGCTGACTTCCGAATGCTCACCGAGATATTCCCGTCACGAGTTGGTTTAATTATTGGCTTGCATTGAACCTATGAAAAAATGATATTTTTGTAATAGTAAGTAGACTTAGTGTGTAGCACTTCTTGATTTTTTTGCAAAGACACAAGAAGCACGAGAATTGATTAAAAATTGTTAGTTAAACCTCTATTTATCACGCGATGGCCTGTCTCACTGTACCAAATTTATAATATCTCGGTGAGCATTCGGAAGTCAGCCAAGCGCGGTCATTGCTCGCGTGCTGAACAAGAATGCTGTATAATGACAGACTAGAAACAATAGACAACTCCCAAAGCACAAGCTCAGCCAAAACGCTAAAAATCTTCAATGTTTACTCAAGTTTGAGCTTATAGAAGATAATGTCACACTTTTTCAATGACCATGAAATTCACAGTCCGGGTAGTTAGTTAATCAATTGTGGCCCTGAAAAAATTTGAAGGAAAAAAAACTACAAATTTTTAAGAAAATGCTTTTTTCGTGAGATTGACTCTTAAACGCCGACAAACGTCAACAAATAGCGAAAACCATAATTTCTATATGTTTGCTTTGCTCGAAATCGCGCGCATTTACAAGGCCCTAAAGCGTTTTGCTGACTTGCAAGGACCCATCTGTTATAAGGATGCCCAAAATACAGAGATGAATCTCATAGTTTATTAGATATAATCCGTGTAAAGTTTGCTTACCATTTTCGCATAAATTATGACCTAAATTTGGAAACCGCTGAATTTCTCGAATTGGGTCTTTGCGATTTTGGTGAAACTCTGTTCAGCGCAAGGCACTAATGCGCACTATGTGTAGCCGAGAGATTTTCACGAAAAAATGCTGGCAACAGCCGATTTTCGACTCAGACCTCAAAGGGGCGTGGCATTATAACCACGTGACATTTACTCCGATCGCCAAAAATTTTATGTTATATTACAGATTGATCTATATGTTATCCATTCTATGTGTTATACTTACGATAAAAGTAAAGGTGGGGATACCAGAGAGCTTCAAAGTAGGATGGTACCCCCTAAAAAAAACTGGGTCGAGTCACCTTAAGTACATGAAAAGTTCGGCGTCTGAATCAGTTAGGAACGCCTGTTTCAATTTGGAACGGCTCACCCGTTCTTTTCGCCTAGCCTGGCCGGGAATTTCGCCTTTGGATCGACTTTGGAACGCCTTTGATTCAGACGCCGAACTTTTCATGTACCGAACCTAATGCATAAATTCTTATAACGTATTTTGTAAGCAGTTTGACCAAAATGCGCATTTTTCGCCTTCTGAATTTAGTTCGGCTGGAATTAAGATCGGCGTCTGAATCAATTTAGCCAGTCTAAATAATTTGGGTCGGCCTTAATTCGAATTAGGTTCGGCTCATGAAAAGTTCGGCGTCTGAACCGGGCCTAATAGCATAAACTCTAAGTCAAGAAAAGAAATCTTCACATCCCTATTAATTGAAGGAGTGGCTAAATGATTAAGAAAACTATCCCGCAAACAGACCTGAATTGAAAAAAATGTGAAATTGTAGGTCTCTTCAATAGCAGCAATATACAGGTTACGATTTCTAGGGCCAGTATTTCTGTCTTAAAGGGAAAACTTAAAAGAGGAACTTTTGTATTCCCGTAAGCCCATTATATTTTTCGTTTCTTTTATTTTCTTATTTTTTCCGGATGAACAGTTCTGTGTAGCCTTTACATTTATACCTCACAATATGTGAAAGGAAATTTTACCGCTTACAAGATGTATAATATTTTCTTTGAGGATAGACATAGGAAAGAAAAAGTTAACCTTTATGCTACTAACTGTGATACAGCAACTTACAACTTTGCATTTTTTTAAAAAAAAATAGACAAACTCGGGCTCGAAAAGCCGACGAGTCTGTCGTTAGAATAGAGGAGAACTCTTTCATATTTTAGATAAACTCACTTTTTCAGCGACAATAATAAAGCCGTAAACAAACGCAGTAAAACTTCATTCAAGCGGTTTTCAGCTGTATTCCGGGCACGAGTTATGGGAAAAGAGCAGCACACTTCAAAACTGCAGAAATTGTTGAATTCTACACACTGCAAAATTCTTGAATGGGAAGTAATGAATAAGAAAATGAATAGCAATCGATGGAACATGTACAAAAACAACACTTCAGTTTTAATTCAAGAAAGGGGAGTAGCCCGTCTGAAGTGTTTCTAAAAATCTCACGGTTGTTTTTTGAGATAATGTTATGAATGAACAATCGGACAGATAAATAACTTAATTTCTTGAAAATTTTGAATCAAAAACCCATAAGTTAATCCTAAAAAGCAGTTCGCGTAACAAAACTGGATCGTGGATCCACTCAAGCAAGTTGAATCGACTGACCACATGACAAAAAATCAGTTTCAAATGCTCATTTTGTGGTTTTTCTTTCACGCCGATATCAAAATGTAGAAAACCTCCATGAAACCTTTATATAGTACAGTTCCTTGACCAAAGAGCACGGAATGTACCTCAAGTTTCTTCAGAATCCTCGCTGCCTTGGTTGGTTCAAAACAAGCGAAGCGCAACGATCCGTCTTGTAGAAACAAGGTTGAATTCTTCGAAAGACAATTTCATAGCGAAAAGCTTTCGTTTGTCCACAAAAAGGTAACTGAGCATTCCATTGAACTTTCTCTTTCCATTTGTGTCTTTTATCGGCGTATTTTCAATCTTGAAATGCAAAACTTTAGTCTTGAAAACCACCACTTGATGAACGCGCGCCAGCCATTATGTTGATGGATGACATCCACTGAAGTGTCAAATCAGTTTCTTCCCCCACCCCCTAAATGGTTGACATGACCATTGGACGTTTGTGGGGGAGGGGGGTGAGAGTGATTTTGAGATAATAATTTTTCCCAAACCTCTCGCTGGAGTTAGAATTTTTTTCCCCCACATATAACGGTGTAACATTTTTTTTCAGTGCAGGATGTTGTTTTTCCCAGTAAATTCTTTGCACGCTTTTTTCTTTTCAAAATCAGTGTGCAGGATATTTTGTTCTGAAATTACCCATAAACCCTTCAAAAGTCGAATAGTCGGCCCCTAAAGTCCACCAAACATTTCTCAGTTGACAGATTCTGATTTGCAATCATTTCTAAAACCTTTTGAAACAATAGGGGATAAAAGTCTCTGGGGGAGAGGGGCGGAATTCGTTTCTACTTTCCACTACCCGGAGAGTCCGTACAGACGGACGTACGCTGACGTCATAACCAAAATTTCTTGGATGGATAGTTTAATATATAGATTTAGCCAGGGCTAAAAGCGAAGCTCCCATTAATAAATTTACAACTTAAATCAAACAATAAACTTGTAATCCACAAATCAGTTAACTTAAGGGCAAATATGTGACTTTTTAGGGAAAGCTAAGGCTAAGTGATTTTAGAGTGAAAAAAAATCTTACATCGAATTGATAACCGTATATATACACCCAAAAAATAGCAATCATCTTCGATCACATGTAAGATGCATAATCAGGCTCTTGATCACAGTAGATTAGGCCTGGAAAACAAATTCTTCTGAAAAACAAATCAGGCCGAATTTTTTGCGTTCGACAAGTTTACTTAACAAAATCTTGCCAACAACTCTGAGTGCGTGTAAACCAACATTTCATACTTTTTATACATCACATCTGAGGTGAAACAGTAATATGAGGCGCTGTTTTTATCATACAGACCGCAGAAAAATGCAGTATTTCACAATTTTTCAAGACAAATTGTACTCATTCAATATTCAGAACCGTACGAAGCACACGTGGGCTTTTAGCAAAACCGTTCAAAAAATGTCCAAAATCACCTATACGGCGAGCCTGTTCTCACCTTTGACAAGAGCCAAATTTTCAGTGAACATTAAAAGAGTTACGCTTCAACATAATAAAGAATTTATTGTGTTTATCATTTTTATTTAATGGTTTTATAACGATGTGTAATCTTAAAAAGCGTTTGATACGCGCGGCATTTTGAGTACTCCTGCAAGCGATGTTTATGAACGACTGAAAACAAACGGCAAAGCGATTAAAATTGCAAGAGACTACTAACAATCAATAAAAGAAATGTAATTCGGTGAAACATTTGCAGAGACAACGATTTTTATCCACGAAGACAAGTATTAAAGCGTCTCTAAAAATCCTGAGTCTTTAAGCTTAAGCTTAAAGCTTTTAGCGCAAGGCAAGAAAATCGCTGAAAATCGCTCATAGCCAAAATTATATCTAAATACTCTTCGGAACGTTTTTTCTTTATGCGGAGAGGAAATATCGACTAAAGGCTTTTTAAAGCTCAGTAAGCTTATATCAAACCTCATACTAGATCAGATTATTGTCTCAGATCTTAATACAAACGTGCATAGACTAGCCTCATAAACTGCGCTCGACTTCACGAAATTAGATATAAAAAAAACAAACGCATACACTGTATACAATAATTACTCAGGTTTACCATTCGAGATGCAGCTCCTGAAAGCTATCAAGTAAGGCCAGAATCGCTTGAGGGACTTTTCAACCCGCATCAAGGTGAAAAACGAAAACGATGTCATCCGAAATCGGATTTCCAACTTTGACAAGCGGCGCATTTCTCAACCAAAAATTCAATAAACAAACCAACCATGAATAACAAAAGATTGTTGATAGCAGCTGTATTTCATTTTATGCGTCAAGTGGAAAAAGACAGTAAAAGACGTCACAAGTTGACAAAAAACTCTGTCAGCTTTAGCTGTCAAAGTAAACAAGTTTCAAGATGCTGTATAAATTTTCTGCATGAACTCACCTGTCAAGTTTTGACCAATCAGGGCATAAAAATTGGACGGTCTTCGAGCGTCATCAACGCGTGACTATGGTGAGAAAAGTGAAAAGCCTCTCTCTTCCCTGCTTGTATTTTTAAATGAATGGCTGAAGTTTCGCGTCCGAGATCAGCTTGAAATCTTGAAAATGTTAATAGCGCGGGGCCGTAGTGACATTAACACAACACCTTCTGTCATCATGTCATTATTTTGCTGCCGTTCTCTTTGCCTTTGTATTTCTCTTTCGCGTTGCCTTTGTCTGTTCATTCCAGCTGTCTCGTTCTGCTTGCCGACGTTCTTCGCTAAAACTTTGTCTTCTTCTTCTACTTCAACGCGCACTCTTTGGCGATCGTCTTCGCTTGCTCTACGCGTGTTGACTCTTGCTCTCTGCCGTTCACCTTCTCTTTGCTCTCTGCTTAAAACCAATCGTCTACACACTACCTAACGTCTACACGCTAAAATCTCTCTGCTGTTGTTTGTTGACATAATAGCTTTCGTAAGTTGTAATAAAAAATTATAAGAGCTCTGTCGAAAAATCTTTTTGCTAAGTTGCTTTGAAATTTCTTTTTTCAAAACCAGTTGCGCGATATTATTAAAACGTAACGAAAATCAATAAACTCTGCAATCGGCGCTTCTTTAGGCTTTAGCTATGAGTCTTTAGTTCACTGCCTGAAGCCTCTTTAACATGAGCATCAAAGTGCTCCACAGTAAGTTTTCCCATGACGAGCTTTCCGTGGTTGTGTACCAGCCAAGTTTTCCACATCCAGAAGGAAACGTTAAAAACTCATTTGCAAAGGTTTTAATAAATAGGTTTCTTGGAAAAAGTATCATGTAAAACTGACATTGCTGTACTTTAGACTTAGACTCAAAGCCCGTTTCCGGTTTCTGCCGGTTAGATGGATTTACTACCTCGTGACAGTAGACAATAGAGTGACTCCCAGTGAACCATAACTGCCCACATTTACAGGGAAATAGAAAGGGCACGTAACTTCGAGCATATACCAGCTAGCAACGCTAATGATCTGACCCCGAAATAACGATAAATGAACACTAAAATACATGTACCTCTGAAAGGAACTAAAAATTCCGGCCAGTCTACTGTATGGAGACAGTGAGGTTTTATAACTACGGCATAAGATGTCCACTTTAAGATAATGCAATTCAAGCCGCTGTTGACAGGCAATTCAACTCTCACGTGAGAGTTGGTCTGCTAGACAATAGCATGATTAAGTATTTGAGTTCAGATGAACTGGAATTGCTTCCAGTTTGACATTTACTTTTCACGAGTTCATGAAGGCGTTTAAGACTAAATTCGTTCACCTGATTTATAGAGGGATCTGTTAGGTTCAAGGTATGGCATTGATAAATTGTTTTCTATGTTAACAGTCTAAGAACAATCGTGGCTTCCGACGATCAAACGTCTGAAGCTCTTTTTGTTTCATTTAGAGGTATTTCATTTACCATTTAGTGGAAACCCATGGGCAAATTGCAACTATTTTTTAATGTTTCCCAAGCCAGTAGGGTTCTTTTCGTTTAAAACTCTAGATCTTCGCGCCCGAGTTATATTGCTATATCGACGTCCCAAACCTTCTCAGTAAACTTTCAAAACTTCTAGAAAATTAACGGTGCATTGGTCATGAAGTAACTTTTGAACAGTGTAATGATAACATAAGCTTTTAAGTACTTTTTTTAGCTTCTGCAAGTTTATCTTGTGTGACCACGGTGAAAAATGTGGTCTGCAGGATAGAGACTGTTCGACTTCCACCTTGATCAGACTGCAGCAGACTTTAATTAAATCTGATCTGCCTGAGCATTTTGAAGTGAAAGAAAATTCCTTTGATCTGTGTAGACATTTTTGACGAATCTCGCGCTTGTTGTATATTAACTGAGCTATGAAAAATCTGACGGTTCCAATATACTTGCACATTTAGTCTTAGTAGTCTTAGGTTTGATCTGCCTTCAATAATGTACCTTGTATCGTCGATAATTTTTATTAATTAACTTAAAATCAAATGCTGGCTGCCGACCCGTAAACGTTGGCCTAGTTATGACGCATTTTCTTATTTATTAAAGTATTCGTAATTACTTTTGCAATTAAGCTAACTTCTGGGACGAATATAAACTTTAAAAGGCCAAAATTGCATGATTACGTGACTATCAAAGCATAGTATGTATCAGCTAGCAACGCAGCCGAACGCCGCGCCAATAAATTTTATCTGATCACGAAATCACAATAAGTAGAAACGAATTCGAAAGTATTACGTACTCCTCTAGGGAGCCTTAATAATTCCGGCCATAAAGTCTTCGATCTGAAAACAGTGACAACGGTGCTTGGAAACGCATCGCATCAACTACATCGCGTTCAAGAAGATAATGCAAATCACGAAGCTTTTTTAAAAATAAGAAAAGATCAACTATCACGTGAGAGTTTGTTTATTAGACAATAGCATGACTCAGTGATTAAACGCCTTCCGTTTTCGCTTTTGCCGTGTTAACTCTGTGCTCCTTGTTATGGCGTTAAAACCTTTTGTTGTCTTTCTGACCGCGTTAGAGAGACGAGAAGATTGCATATGTTAGATTGAAGGTATGGCAGTTACTGGAGGAGTTGTAAAAGTTGTTTATTTTAACAGGACAGTTTTCGACTTCCGCTTTGATCAGATTTGCTGTGGGCCGTTTGAATTGAAAGCAAATTCGTTCGGTCTGTGTAGACAAAGAAGGCGAATTCAGCGCTTGTTGTGTACACTCTTTTTTCTATAAGAATATTATTTAAAAATAATATCGAGGCTGAAATTTGAGACATTTTAAGAATATTTTTAGAATAAACCTGAGGCTGCAATTTTTAAAAGGGTATAATTTTGTGTGTAGAAAATCTGTCAACAATGCAATTATATGTTTTTTTCTTAAGTGATAAAATAATTCCTTTCTCTAAATGGCAAAACTAGACAACATAACGAAAAAACACAGCCCTAGCTTTAACCAAATTTTCAATGCTAATGACAGTTCTATTAACTGACACATGTGGTACTTATGAACTATATGTCCCAAGCTATAAGTTAAGGAGGCTCGCACCCATTTTTCAAGGTCTCACCCCTTCGTGTTTGATGCTTTATAACTTTGGCTGTAGTACATGTGCGGAAAAGCCAAACTTCATTTTGTTCAAACCTGAATTTTTTTGGATTCTTTTCAACAGCTTAGGTAGTTCATTCTACTTCGAAGATCTACATATATAGTTAACTTTCATAAATAATTGTTTCATTACTAACCAATTGGATTACATTAAAATGCTTCCATTCTGGAATCCTTTCTGTTGTGAGTATTTTCCTGGTCAGCTCAAATACTCAGCATGGGATTTTTTCGGGTTAAACTTTTGGTTATTGGTTTTTTTCGCGTTTTGCTTCAAGTTTGAAGGATGTCTTCGGGTTTTAGTTCACAACCCCATTCCACCTCCCTGTTCTCATAACCACTCTAGCAACTCAATTTTATTCTGGGCAAAAACAAGAGAACAAAAAAAAGAGGTACCGTTATTTCGGTAGGGGGTTTAGAGGATGCGTTTTGACATTAACTGTTCACAGTCCTCTATTTTTTCTTAAGATCGTCAGGGATTGAGCGCTTACATTAAATAACGGTTACAGGCGGCCATCTTTGTTTCATATGTACCGAGGAGGCGGGCGTCGGGGTTCATAGCAGTAGGTGGAGGGAGACGATTTTTCTCGCCTCCTCCCGAACCGTTCCCCAACTCCCTAAGTAGATTCGACCCTCCTTGTATCCAAGGTGGCCGCCCGTAACGCAAAGCGCTCGAACCATCTCGATAATCTTACCGAAAAATAGGGGACCTGGAAAAGTCTAGTTTTGATGCGGAGTATGCATGGCACTTGTAATTGCTAGCTGCAATAGAGGTTTGCAAGCACCGTAATTCGTTTCCTTATAATTTAAATTTTTCTCTATAGAGATCGGCTTTCCGATAAAGCCCTTATCATAGCATTACCCTGACAAAGGCTAACAAAAGAAGTTGTTCTGATTTATGTGAATGTGAATATCACTTAAACAAACTGACGGTTAGTCAAGTTTGACTTGAATTTAGTTATATTCCGGCGAAATTTAATTAGCATAAACTCAAAATTAAATAAGCCTGAGGATCATTAAACGCCTCGGGACTTATTAAAGTGAGGCCCGAGGATACAAAGCATGCAATGACCTCTACAATCAGAATGTCAAAAACGTAATGAAAATCAATCTGAAACTCTCCATTCGGCGCTTCTTTAGGCTTTAGCTATGAGTCTTTAGTTCGCTACCTGGAGCCTCTTTAACATGAGCATCAAAGTGCTCCACAGTAAGTTTTCCATGTCGAGCTTTCTGTAGTTGTGTACCAGCCAAGTTTTCCATATCCAGAAGGAAACGTTAAATTTGCTGTACTCCTCACGCTTTGAGCTGTTTATTTTTTAAACTCATTTGCAAAGGTTCTAATAAATAGGTTTCTTGGAAAAAGTATCATGTAAAACCGACATTGCTGTATGTTAGACTTTTTCAAAGCCCGTTTCTGCTGGTTAGGTGGTTTTATTACCTCGTGACAGTAGACAATAGAGTGACCCCCAGTGAACCATAACTGCCCACATTTACAGGGAAATAGAAAGAGCACGTAACTTCGAGCATATACCAGCTAGCAACGCTAATGATCTGACCCCGAAATAACGATAAATGAACACTAAAATACATGTACCTCTGAAAGGAACTAAAAATTCCGGCCAGTCTACTGTATGGAGACAGTGAGGTTTTATAACTACGGCATAAGATGTCCACTTTAAGATAATGCAATTCAAGCCGCTGTTGACAGGCAATTCAACTCTCACGTGAGAGTTGGTCTGCTAGACAATAGCATGATTAAGTATTTGAGTTCAGATGAACTGGAATTGCTTCCAGTTTGACATTTACTTTTCGCGAGTTCATGAAGGCGTTTAAGACTAAATTCGTTCACCTGATTTATAGAGGGATCTGTTAGATTCAAGGTATGGCATTGATAAATTGTTTTCTATGTTAACAGTCTAAGAACAATCGTGGCTTCCGACGATCAAACGTCTGAGGATCTTTTTTTGTTTCATTTAGAGGGGTTTCATTTACTATTAAGTGGAAACCCATTGGTGAGATGTTTGAATTGTAACTATCTTTTAATTTTTCCCAATCCAGTACGGTTCTTTTTCTTTAAATCGCTTCGCACCCGAGTTATATTGACTATATTGGCGTCCTGAACGGCACAGAACCTTCTCAGTAAACTTTCAGAACTTCTAGTAAATTAACAGCGCATTGGTCACAAAGTAACTTTTGAACAGTGCAATGACAACGTACGCTTTCAAGCACTTTGCTAAGCCTCTACAAGTTTATCTTGTTCACCGCGGTGAAAAATGTGGTCTGTAGGATACAGTCTGTTCGACTTCCGCCTTGATCAGACTGGAGTAGACGTAGCATTTTGAAGTGAAAGCAAATGCCTTTGATCTGTGTAGGCATTTTTGACGAATCCGGCGCTT